CTTCGTCGATTTTTGGTCAAACTCACTTTTTCTCACGCTGGAAATTTTTTTTTTCCTCTCTATTCTTCTTGGATGCTCTCTGGTTCTTTTCCACATACAAATGGCCAATATATGCCTTAGTTCCTCACTTGAACCGACTATCACACAAGAAATGATCAATTTTTGTAAACTTTGACTTTTCAAATACCTTTCTGTAAAAAAAATCACAAATATCTCAAAAATCTTCAATTTTTACTTCCCCATTAAGCCTTGGCCGGCCACACTATGTTGTCACATGTCCTCATCTCAGCCACTCATCAATTCATAGTAATTATCTCATTAATTTTCCATTTAATTTCCTGTCCGGTGTGCATTTTATCAGCGTTTTTCAGACAGATGGTCAACTTAGTCAACCTTGGCTATTCTTGACTAACTTTTTGAGGGCGACATTTTGGTCAACTCTTGGTCAACAAATTTTGATTTGGTCAACTCAAATCAATCGAAATCCCAATTTTCTCAATTTTCCGAACCCCTTTTCCGTTTGTTTTTCGTTCCGACTGTTTCTAAAACCCTAGAATTGATGTCTTTCAATTCTTTTTCATTTCATAAACTTATCATTTATGTGTTTATCCACTTACGAGCTTAACACAACATTCCATACTTCTTTCTTAAATACAGTATGAAAAATCGATAACTGCATCGTAGTTCTGAAATTTCTGAATTTTAACTTATAACTTGCTATTCCATACATATATCGACAAATACATATCATAAAAACATTTATATTGATGATACAAAGGATTCTAGGAAATATTATCCTATATAATAATTCCAATAACTTTCTCGGTCATGACAACTTTGATCCAAGGGCTAGAATATAAGATGACAAGCTATAAATAGGTGATGGATTTATTCCATCCTTCATATGGGGGCGGCTAGTGAGAGAAAGTTGAGAGAGAGAGAGAGAGAGAGAGAGAGAGATAGAGAGAAAATAGAGGATGGAAGAAAGAAAAAGAAAGAGAAAATGGGAAGACAGAAAGAAAGAGAGAAAATGAAGAGAAGAATTTTCCTCTTGTCCAGCGAATTTGTCAGTATACCTTCCACTGCATCACTTGAACAGTAGTATGTTTTTAATGAATGTTTCCAATTTATTGCTAGAATACTTTCATGAGATCGAGATTTAGAAAGTGTTTTAAGAGTATGATATGAATCTTGTGTTTATTATGAACTGATTAAAGCATGATAAAGTAAAGGGCCAAATCCTTGAGGAACAAGAGATTTCAATATAGGGGCTATAGGAAAGGGGTTCTAATAACACAAGATGAATATTATACGAAAAAAGCCCTAACTATTAAAGAAAAGTATTTTCAAAGTGAAAATCACTATATGGTTTACTTACTGAGCTTGAGCTCATATTGTTCTCGTGATGCAGGTAAGTGCTAAAGTTGAAGTTCCAGTTGACTGAGCAAGAAAGGTTTAAAGTCCCATGACGAGTTAAGAGACCTTAAGATATGAAATTTGTAATCTTAAGAATTTGTTGGAAGATTGTAATTGTCCCATGACATCGAGATTATTTCTCATTTAAGGAGTAATATATTAATGTAAGTTAACGTTTCTCTCGAGCTGGCATAGTTTTTAGCTGCTGGCTCGGGAGGGGTATTACATTTTGGTGTCAAAGCAAAGTTTCTGCCACCTACCACATTCGGATGAGCATCCAATTCTACACTGCCCATGTAAGTCATTATTTCTTTTTAATTTAGTAGTTAGTGTGTTAATTTTGTTTAGAATATACATAATGATTCAAATTCACAAAGACATGTCGTATGAGGAACTTCGGGTGCTGATTCTCGCACAAGAAGAAAATTGTCATCGGAATCAAAATATTCCACTTGTTAAAATTCTATGGCGGAATCAAAAAGTGGAAGAAGCAACATGAGAACGTGAAGATGAAATGAGAAAAAATACCCCCATTTGTTCTAATTTTCAAGGACAAAAATTTTTAAGGAAGGGTGATAATCATGAACGAGAAATTTATCAGAATTATTGTATAAGATAAAATTTTTTGGAATCCTTTGTATTATTATTATGAATACTTCTATATTAAGTACTTGTTGATAATAGTACTGAATAGGAAGTTAGAAACTAAAAATATGAAATTTTTGAACTACGATGCAGTTACCGATTTTCAGATTGTATTCAAGAAAGAGGCACATAACGTTTTGTTAAACCCACAAGTGGGAAAAACCCTAAATATTAAGGTTAAAAAATGAAAAAGAATTGAAAAACATTAATTCTTGGATTTTAGAAACAATCAGAACGAAAAACAGATGAAAAGGGGGTTCGGAAGGTCGAACCGAGAAAATTAAGATTTTTGACCGATTAGGGTTGACCAAGTCAAAATTTATTGACCAAGAGTTGATCAATATGTCACTCTTGAAAGGTTAGCCAAGGTTAAGTACAGTTGACCATGTTGACCAACTCTCTAAAAAACGCGGATAAAACGCGCACCAGATATGTATTAAAGTGAACCAAAGTAGATAACTATTAGAAATCGATGGTTGAGATTTAAAGTGATTAATGGAATGGAAGACTGAGATTGGGACACCTAGAAAGAGAGGATAAGGCCGGCCAAGCTTAGTGGAGAAGCCAAGTGAGATATTTTGTTGAACTTTTTAAAAATGACCTTAGAAAAGTCAAAAATTGCACTTAAGTCCTACACCATTTTGTGAACGGTTTTAAGAGGTGAGAAATGGAATTAAAACCTCATTCTTTATGTTAAGAAACCAGAGAGGATTCAGCCAAGAGAGGAGAAGAAAAAAATTAACCCAAAGTGAGAAAAAAAGAGTTTTAAGCGAAAACTGACGAAAACTGCCATTGACTAGCGTCACTGGAACATTGTAAGGTAAGATTTCAATTTTTCTTCTAAGGTAAGATTTCAATTTCCCTCCTTATTTTTCCCCTTGGCTGCATGTCCATGAACATTGTAGGTTGTGGAAAAATTTTTACTAAGAATGATGATTTGCTTATACAAATTCGAGATACCAAAGAACATAATGTTTAAAGGTTAATTTTTGGTTATTGGATTTTGTTTCTAGCATATTTGTTTATGGTGAAACCTTATCATTTATGATGTTTATGATGATAAAAAGGAGATGAGAAAGATTGTGATTGGTTTTTGAAAGTTGAAACAATGGATAAAACGAGCTATGGTTAGCTCGGGAAACACGAAAAATTAGGCATAACTCCGCTGAAATTTAGTTTGGAAATTGTGAACCAATCTTGGTTGTAGTGGAGAGTATGAGTAATGAGATGTATAAATGAGATGGTTCAGTGGTTAAAAAGATGTGGGAAACCTGAAACGATGGGAATCCCCTGTTTCGGATCAAACATGAACACTTGGTTAATGACTGAAAACGTAAATTTGAGTATGTTTAGGCTAAAGAACCAAGATAGATGCTTGAGTTCAAAAAGTGATCAATATTAGGTTGTAGAAAATTTAGTTCCGAGCAACTTTTGTGAAATAGCGTTTTCCTCAAAAATGAATTGAGATGCCAGTTTTGGGCTAATTTCTGAAAAGGGTCTAAAATGAGATTTTAGGCTAAGTATGCACGAGTTTAGAGCACGATGGTGATTTAAGGATCCTTTCGATCCGGTATTGTCCTCATCCATCTTCACAACCAACACTCTCTCTCGACAACTCATCTCTCTCAGGTTAGATAGGGTTAGTTTCCTTTTTCTTTTTTCGGTTTTCAAAGTCTATTTAAATAATTGATAGATTGTTTTTAAAGTTTTCATATTATCAATAACATTAGAGAAATTTCTCTCCACTTTGCATCAATTTTCGGTATTCGTCAGAATTAATGAATATGTGTTGACGAATACCTGAATATGTGTTTTGTATTCTATAGATACAACAAGTGCGTTTAATGTCTATTTTCATGATATTTTATGTGTATCAGAAAATTTATAGACTTCCTATTTTATGATGTTCTTGCTTGATTTAAAATGATCTAGACACAATCTAAATTAGCTCAAAAACACTAATCTAGCTTAAAATCCGAAAATGCCATAAAAAACTCTTATTTGGGATTTAGGCATACCTCTTCCGCTAAACAGCACCCGGCTCATCCACGGTCGCCGGAATCCGCCAATGGCCGGTCGGAGTGGGTGGAGGAGCTGCAAACGGATGAAGAAAGGCAAGAGGAGCGTTGAGCTCCTCCCTATCTCTCCCTCTTTTTGTTTTGGTCGGCCACACCCCCAAAAAACCACGCACACCCTTTTCCAAAAACAAAGGGTGGCACCAAAAAATAGAGCAAATGAGATGGGGTGAGGATATTTGCTTTACCAAATGAGAGAGTATTTGGCCTAATGGGCTGACCAAATATTATGAGATAGAGGAAGTTCATATGCCTCAACCGAGTTAATAAAATAAGTGTCCATCCCATAATGGACTGATATTTAACATACATGCATGTGTTAATTCACATTAACATAGTTGTCCATAAGACGCTTTAATTAATTACAGAGTGAATTATTATGATTATGGAAGTCCATATAAAAATATTCCAACAATATCCTACTTGGACGACATAATCATATAACTGTGTATTTTTTCTTTTCTTTTTTTGTTTAAAACAACTTCTCAGTTTTTTCTTTTCTTTTTTTGTTTAAAATAACTTCGAGGGTAAAACATATTAAAAAAAAAGCGTATTTTTTTAATTAGTCAAGGTATCCGATTAAAGATGTGATGAAGAAAATTAACTAAAAAATAGTACGTAGGAAAACAGGCAGTATAAAATATTTGACATTCCCACTGAATTTTATTTAATAATCAGCTCTATATATAGAGCTTAGTTCATACATCACACTGAATACATCATATATTATACACACAAGAAGAAGCTCTACGAAGAGAGCTCGCTCTATAGAGAGCTTATTTTAAGCATGCTCAAACCATTCCTTGCGTATATCATGGTAATACTAGTCAAACAACACCAACAAATACTACCATTATACTCTTGGTGATTTGAATTTATTTATTATATATTAAACAACCGAAAGCCAAGACATCTAGAGACGTCATGTTTTATTTTAAGATGATACGTAAATTCCAATGGCACTCAGAAAATCAGTACTGGTTCTTCCGACAAATCCAGCAATGAGGGAATTAGTTAGGATTGGTCGGCTACTGAAAGCTCTTCCTTGTGCAGTCCCATATGTATATTCATTCTCGTTGGTGGTAAATGTGAGCGAGCGTATGACTTCAGTCTTTGTGTCGGCACCGGGCACAACACCAATGTAGCCACTCACTTTCGTTATGACCTCCCCTTCTTCTAGTTTAATCTGGATTTCAAAGAATAGTAAACGAAAGATGAAAGTTATATCCATTCTTATCATTATTTTCTGATAGTAGAGCCTTTCCCAGGACAGATTAGTAAAAAAGAAAGTTATATTCATTATTATACCTTTAAAATTTGGGTTTCAAAGAAAAGTAATAAAGAAATAAAGAAATGAAAAAAAACTAACATTCACTCTTATATAGGTATCGTCACCAGTTGGATGTGGGATTCCCGTAGTGGGATCCTCCTTATAGAATGCAGTAAAACTTCCAATGCCTTCACCCGGCTTATATGAAAGGGAGATTTTGGAAACTCCAGTGTGCGTTTTGCCATCGTCCCAAGCTACACCACCAGGCCCTCCATATGGTCCAAATTTTTCTAGCGACTGCAAAATATTTTTGAAGACACAATCACAATTATATTAATCAACCGCACACGTATATATTAATATATGGAATCTCCTAACGTCTGTCATATATACATAATATTAATCAACAAATGTTCTTAAAACTCAAACTATAATTTCAATTTTCAAAAAATAACAAACTAAATTCGTTCAAAAAATACATAATATTTCTCTTTTCCAAACATGAAAAATACAAATGAAAAATCATTAAAGTGAAAGAAGAAGGCTCAACTAGAACCTCACCATCGTTTGCACTTTCGGAATGAAAATGTAGAGAGAAGGAGAATATGGATTTGGATATTGAGAAGTGTGAGTTTACTTGGGTGGGCTTACCTCTATTTATACAAATAGTATCATCTACCTTATTTGGAATTTAGTTATTATCATCTAACTTATTTGGAATTTAGTGCTTCTTTCGGGATAAGATTTGGGTAGGTATGAGGGATTTTGTACAAAGGTCTGTGATGTGTTCTCATACTTAAAATGTCATGAAAATCTTTGATTGGTTGTACGTAGACTTGAAAATGGGCAAAGTGGGCATAGGTTTTCATATCTCATCAAAATATCAATATAGATATGAGAGATGGATTTAGAGGGTCATGTGAATTGTACCGTGAAGTGAGTGTGAAATGTTATGAAGACTAGAAGGCCACGAGAAAAACGTTCTAACACGTGACTAAACAGTTGACTTTTGAAACAATGTACTGTGGAGTAAGGATCCTTTTTTTTTTTTCATGGTAGTAGTACTGAGACAAAAAAAATCGTTCAATGTAAATCGTTTTTTCATCTTTTTTTTTTCTTTTACATTTTTTAAAGGTTTCAATTTCTTCTTAATTTGGAAAAAGAGAAAAAAAAAAAAGTTGTTCAAATTGGTACTCTAAATTTCTTTTACGTAAACCGAGGGGATCATACTCTTTGGATCTTTCCCTGAAATTGTGACGAACCTAACTTTTGATTGTCGTCCTATGCTTATACTTAACATTTCTTAATCTCTACCATTTACTAGTTATAACTTCTAAAAATTTCAGGCCATTTTTTTTTCCATGTACGTTAAAATGCTGTAGCATTTAGCTATCATTCTGTTTTCAGCCATTCCTAAAATACTGTAGCATGCTGACAGCATTTTGTTACATTAGTCATCAAAATACATAAAACACTATTTTATTTTACATATAAAGTTCAGCGGCGTTGCCAAAACACGTGATACATCCATGACCCACTTGTCCACATTCCACTGCTACATCCTCTCTGCATGCCCAGCAACAAGTTTCAGGGAGCTGGTGCCTTACCCGTGCTTCCTACAACACGAACAAACTTAATGAGCTTTCGCTCAGCAAGTATCAATAGGTCATAA